AAGAAAGAAAGAAAGAAAGAAAGAAAGAAAGAAAGAAAGAAAGGGAGGATGAAAGAAGAAGAAGGAAAGAAGAAAATAAAGGGAGGGAGGAGGAAGGAGGGAAGGAAGGAAGGAAGGAAGGAAGGAAGGAAGGAAGGAAGGAAGGAGATAGAGAAAGAAGAAAGAAAGAAAGAAAGGGAGGATGAAAGAAGAAGAAGGAAAGAAGGAAAGAAAGGGAGGGAGGGAGGGAGGGAGGGAGGGAGGGAGGGAGGGAGGGAGGGAGGGAGGGAGGGAGGGAGGGAGGGAGGGAGGGAGGGAGGGAGGGAGGGAGGGAGGGAGGGAGGGAGGGAGGGAGGGAGGGAGGGAGGGAGGGAGGGAGGGAGGGAGGGAGGGAGGGAGGAGGAAGGAAGGAAGGAAGGAAGGAAGGAAGGAAGGAAGGAAGGAAGGAAGGAAAAGAAAGAGGAGGGGAGGGGAGATGGAGAAGGAAGAAAGAAAAGAAAGTTTTGTGTCTCAAATAATGCAAGGAAAATTGGCTTACATTTTTCTACTAGTTCTCATTCATTCATGTCAATGAAAGAATTTGCTTTTGAATTTTTTTCCAAAGCAGAAGAGACTTCTGATGAAACTCCCCTGAGTGGAATGTGGTGCTCCTGCCTTTATCCTCAGATGAGATGGAAAAAAGTTGTCTTCTATTTCACACTACAGACCTCCCTGGCTTCCCCTACCTTCCTTCAACCACAAAGGACGGGGTGACCAACGCACCTCCCGTTCAGCCTTGTTGGTGTGCAAACTTGGGGGAGACGAGAGAGGAATGGAAAGACGGGCGACTGCAAGACCGTAAAATGCAAGGGAAGGAACCCTCGGAGGATCGCCTGGTGCTTTTGCGTTAGTTTTCCAAGCTAGATGACTCACCCTTCCTTCTGGAGGCCATCTGGCCATCCTGGTTTCTCCAGTTGGGCACCTGAACCACAACCGGGTTTCTCCTTTCTCTCCAACATCTTCTGGACTTGCTCTTGCAGGATGACCAAGAGCAACCCTCTTTGATTCCAAGGGAGGTAGGCCTTGATCACGAAGCCGGTTTCTTCGAACCTGAGTCTGCAGGCAGTCAGGTAATCCAAGGCCGCTAGGTACGGATCTCCCCCCAAGGCTCGGATCAGGCCACGCCCGCACAGGGCCTTCACGCAACTGCTAGGATGTGGAGTGCCGTCTTCGATGATCGCTTGGAAATCTCGGAGGGCCTCTGGGCAGCAGTTGGCATGGAGGTGGCAAAATCCTCGCTGGGCAAGAAGGGTGTTACGATACGTGGTTTCGGCAGAAGCCAGAAGGCAGTTGCAAACTTCTAAGGAGGCTGTGATGTTGCCTTCTAAGAGGTAGCAATCTGCCAGGCGGACATTTAGTTCCCGTAGAGCTCCCGGGGAGACCTGGACGAGGAAACGAAGCGTGCGGAGCACCGGAGGAAGCAACTCCTGTCCACCATTGCTCCGGACTTCGGCCCTCACACGTACGGCTTCTTTGTAAGCTGCAAACTCGCCCTCCAGGGCTGTCCAGGCGTGCTTCTCGACTCTCTCAGCCTCCCCAGGAGAGAAGAGGGCTTCAAAGTGGTTCCTGGCCAGCCTGGGGCTAGCCTCAAAGGCAGCTGTCAGGTCCCTCAGCATCTCTGGTACGTGGCCACTGATAGTGAATAAAGCTGCAGCTCGGTGCACAAGAATACTTGTGGTCTCTTCGTCCCCTGGTGAATCACTGGATAGGAAGACTTCTAAGGCCCTGCTGCAGACAGATACACATTCCTTGTACATGTGTCTCTGAAAAAGACGCATTGCCCGAATTTGGCAGACCCGGATGTCCTCGGGAGCTACGGCAGCCAGGAAGTCATAGCAAAGGTCTTTCCTGTTGAGTAGCTCCTTGTCACAGTTGTCCTGAAGTGAGAGGCAATCCAAGCAGGCCTGGATGATCATCTCCAAGTATCTTCTCTGTCTACGGCTCACAAACGTCACTGTCTCGTTCCGACCTTCCACAAATGCCCGAAGGTACTCTGTGACCCCATCTTGGAAGTGCGTTTGGGACAGCACCAGCGCCAAAGCATGGGTGAGTACCAGCTCCACGCAATGGTGGACCCCAAGCAGAGATTTGCACTGGCTGGCCACAGTGTGATGGTGGCCCACCTCGAGCAAGGCTTCCATTTTGGAGAGCAAGGCGGTCACGTTGTGGGGGTCAAAGGCCAAGAGGAAAGCAGCCACCATTGCAGCGTTGAGCAATGGAGGGTCAAAGTGATGGTACTCAATCTTGGGAATGGGGCTCTCGCCTTGACACCATCTCTCCAATATGGTCACCACGCTGGCCTGGAACTCCTTATCAAGGGCCATCACCTTTTTGACGGCCATGGGGGCGCAGTGAAAGAATCCAGCTACATAGAAGGCAGCGGCCAGTGGGAGTTTGCCGTTGGCTAGTTGCCGATCCCCTTCCTGGCAGAAGTCTCTGGCTTGTTTTGGGGATCTCCAGAGGGCTGAAGAACCCTCGCTGTTCTTAGCCACCAGATGGACTTCTTTGTTTACTGCCCTGCAAAGAAGCAGATGGGAAGAAAGAAAACGATAGAAAAGTTTAGGGTAGACAACCTTGAACTAAACTCCACCAGGATGTGTTTGAAGGAGTTCTCCGACTTTCAGGGTATCACAGCATGGTTTGTGAACCTACCCAAAGGTGGCTTCTTTAACAAACTATGACCAAGCATGATATCCAAACTTTGCCTTAAGCAAGTAGGATTTTTTCAACAACTCTCAGCTGGGGGGAAGAACATGCATTTCAGCCTTGCCGTTTTCTCCTTGTGGTGTTCTGTACCGACCTAATTTTTTCTCCATTGAAATCAATGGCCAGAACGTGGAAATTAGGGGCCAAAATATTGAAATAATTCACGGCTATAGATATTTTTTAACACATTTGTTTTTTACTGCCTTCCTGGTGTAAAGGCCATGGATCATTCTGATAATTTTTCAAAAACTGGATTACAGTTTGGATGGCCATGTGCAAACCCCCCACATCACCCACTCCCTAGTGTGTGTGTACTGGGGAAGAGATCTCACTGTAAGGTTGCTTATGCCAAACGACAATTCTCTTTCTCTGGAGGAGAACGATGATGATGATCAGGTAATCCTCATTTAGTGACTGCCTTATTTAGTGACCGTTCGCAGTTACGACAGATGAAAAAGTAACTTTGCAACTAATCCTCACATTTATGACCTTTGCCGGTCTATAAAGCAAAGGAAAGCTGAAGTCAGATCATAAGCACACTTGCAGTTTCACTTAGCGAACACTTCACTTAACAACCAAGTTGCCAGTCCCAGTTGTGGTTGCTAAATGAGGACTACGTGTAGTATTAAATTTGTATGCTGCCTGATTCCCAACAACTCTGGGATGTGAGCTTACTTAGTATTGTTCCATGCTAAACTTAACAAATAAAAAGAATCTATTTTGATTTGAGTAGATTTGGGTTGGGCATCAAGATGGAGTTCTTTATAGTAACAGCATCAGTGAAGAAGCTGCTTGGGGATTTCTGCACTGGGCTGGGCTGGACTAGATGATATTCATGGCCTCTTCCATCTTATGATCCTGTGACAAGCTATTAATTAGAACCCAATTAATAATTAATAATGGAATGGAAGATCAAAGGCCTAAATTGTTCTTTTCCTAGAAAATTCCGACCCTGAAATATCCACCTGCTGATCCTTAATTGTGTCTGGAGATATTCCTACTACTTCCCCCCCTTAAGTAGATCTTCCATGGTTGGTGGCAGTGTACCTCTGAATATTGAGTTTGACCTCATTTTACCGAGTTGTAGCTGGAAGATGTGTTGGTTGCGATGGTCAGGCAGTTAAATTTGGTTTTTAAGAGTTTGGCTAGGTTCATATAACACATGAGATTAGATACAAATTGGCCCATGTTTTCCTGTCTGGTGTCATGAACCATAATAGGGTTTGTTTGTTGAGGCATTACATTTTGGGGGAACCCAACCATGGGTTTTGTGGTGGTGGTGGTGGCAAAACTGGATTTGGGGATAAAAAAATCTGCAATCATGCCAGTATAAACCAGTCACGGAGAATGAGAGGACGTAAGAAACTGAATCGGAGAAGCAAGAAGGTTGCTCGAGATGCCAGGATTTGAATTCAGGACCTTGTTATTAATCAATAATAACGATTGGAATAAGCAAGCAAATCAATGCAGAAGAGCCATGAAGACGCGGCTCTTCATCCAGGCCTATGGCAAATGAGAGGGAGAACCTTCGCTTCATCCCACTTCCCATCTTTTATCTTCGATTCTATTGTAATTTCTTTGATTGATGGTTGTCAGCCACCCAGTCTTGGAGAGTCCAGCAACATACAAGTTTAATAATAATCATTATTATTAATAGAGCGTCAATCTTTTCAGCCTTTGTTCATAGGCAAAAGTTTCTCCAACGTTAAATTGGCGTGTGTGAATTTAACCCGCCCGTCTCTTTCCTAACCTGAAGCTAACAGAGGAGGGCGGATTCCTCCCGTCTGTTTCCCCCCCTTCGCTTCCTCCCTTGGAGGACAACCGCGAGACTCACATGATGCGCTGCAGATGCGGAGAAGTGTGGATCGAGGTCCTGGCATGGGTAGAAAAGGAAACGAATGGCAGTGAATCAGCCCGGGTTGCTCTCTGCAGAATGTTTGGCTCCCTGGAGTGAGAAGCAAACTGGCCACGTGTCTCCCAGTTTCCCAGGAGACAGTAAACACCGATTCCCTCGCTTGAGAAGCAGTGCACGTCTGTGTCAGAAATCACTTCTTGTCTTACTTAGTTCCCTAGCCAATAGCTTATTAACAGCTGGGGACACAACACACAAGGAAATGTGAGGGGGAGGGAGGAGAAAAAAAAAAGCAAGGGTGGGACCATCTCTTGGGTTGCATCCAAAATTTGGAATGTTAGTTCCATTTGTGGAACTGAATTGAGATCATCCCCTTCAGAGAGACTTTTGTGGATGGAGTGATACAGCAGGTGGTAACATCTGGCTAAAGTTCATTGATTTTGGGGGGAAAAAACCCGAAGCAGGATTGGATACCACCAGGAGATCCTAAGATTGTAGCTTAGGCTAGGAAGGCCCAGAAGACAATAGCAAATTATTTCCATATTGCTCTCAAGAAAGTGCATGGAGGTCAAGTTTAACTCAAGGTCACCATTCCCATTGGAATAATGGATTTTATTGCATTTAAAACAAAATCTTATATTTTATCTTAGAACATCCGTCACCTCAATGGGTAGAAAACCAAGGCTGATGTTAATATAATGCATAAATAAAAACAGGGATGTGCTTTATGGAGAGATGGAAAAGATCTCAGTGGTTTTGAGGCAGCAAAAATGAGAATATCTAGCGACCATCCAGATATAATAAAGCATTTGTCTCACCAGCAAGGAAGGAGGAAAACAAAACAGCCCATTCTTACTTTTAACCGGTATTGGATTTAAGAGCTGGTGAAGGACTCCCTTATTCATAAAATGGGTTAATCTCCTCTCGGTGATTAAAATTTCATTTTGGGCAAGGTTTTCACTCCCTGCCCCCGTCAGAAAAGTTCACCCCTTATTTTGATTTGATTACTTACAGTTTAATTGCCCCTCATTATCCACTGAGACCCCATTTCGCACGACAGGCGAACCATTGAGGAAAAGCTAAATAATTTTTACAGCCAAATAATATAATAATAATAATAATAATAATAATAATAATAATAATAATAATAATGCCAAATATTGTACTCCTCCAGTGAAAATAATTGCTCTTTTTGTAAATAATTGCGCAGAGGGGATCCAGTTTGGAAACCTGGATTTCAGTTTAACGTAACTTGGGTCTAATTATCGATGGATTTCTTCTAAAGGGAGGGAGATTTTAATTTTAATGTTTGGGTTTTGCCTTGAGAAAGGAAAACATTTCGCTGGCTTTCTGTTCGGGCAGGGGAGACAGGAACTCTTCCAAAAAACTGGTGGGTTTGTCCACATTGCTGTCTTGAGAGAAGAAATTTATCTAAATATGCAAGTTCTGTGCAAAAGCAGAGAGAAAGAAACTTATTCCAGAGATGGAGCCATAAAAAAAAGCTTTTACTCACATTTCTGCTTGTACCGTGAGCTGCCCAGGGCCACAGGCTTGAGATGAGCAGGTGACCTAATTCTATAAATAAAATAAATAGATGTGATAAAGGCGTCCGCAAGGGCTAGTCAACCAACAGACAAGGGGAGATGATCTTTTGCAAATGTAAAGCAATGCCTTTAGCCTCTTGAGGACAACCTGGTAGATTACAGACATTATTGTTCAGAAAGCAAACTTGCTAGAAACTCGGCCTGAGTTTACATTTCAAGCTGGGCCACGGCTTGCATTGAAGCAAAATGTCTATCTAAGTCAGCTATAGAGAGATTCATACATGCTGACTTCCTTTCTTTTAACCTGGTTAATTTTGTGTGTGAGCGTGGATGTTGTGCTTTCGGGCCATCCAGCTTAACTGATTAATCTATGATTCTTTTTTTATTCCCTTTTTATTATAGTTGTCAAACATACATATTATTCCGATAGAGTGGTATTTCTACAGTATTAACAAAAGTTTATTAGCATTCTAATGTTTAGATGACTGAGACCATTAAGCTAGAAAAAAAGAGAAGATATTATATCAGTGTTAATTATGATTTAAAATGTCAGCGTTAATAGGCATTGGATTATTTAGCTTTTTCATCCAGAACTGAATCTAACATTAAAAAAACCCTGCAAATGACATCCAAATATTTGTGGTTCAATGAGGGTTTCTGTCTTAAGGTGATAACTTAGTATTAAGGTCTCCACTGTATTTTTACTTACAATTATTTGCGCATGTTGAAAAAAAGAAAAAAGAAAGGCTATTCAGTCTACAATTCAACATATTTTCCAAAACCAAATAATAGATTAATTCTGTTATAAATCTGTTCTGCACAAGC